GCTATATAGATATACATACTATTAAAAGTGCAAATATGGTCAGTTTTGGTTGATGCTGTAAAATAACTTTGTTATACAAGTCAGCCTGAGGTATCAAAACTACTGAAATTTTCTTAAGAGACAATATTTTGAATAAAAAGAGGACATGCTGGCTATCTAGATTGATGGGGACAAATTTTTGTTGTCATTGTATTGCAATGTTGCTGTCATTTGTATTATACAATCCATCCTGACATCAAAATATTGCTGATTTACTTTGCGGCTATATAGATTTACATAATAAAGTGCAAATATGGTCAGTTTTGGTTGATACTTTAAAATAGTTTTGTTATATGAGTCAGCCTGAGGTATCAAAACTACTGAAATTTTCTTGCGAGACAATATTTTTAATAAAAAGAGGACATGCTGGCTATCTAGATTGATGGGGACAAATTTTTATTGTCATTGTATTGCAATGTTGCTGTCATTTGTATTATACAATCCATCCTCACATCAAAATATTGCTGATTTACTTTGCGGCTATATGCTGATTTACTATGCGTCTATATAGATTTACATACATGACATAATAAAGTGCTAATATGATCAGTTTTGGCTGATGCTTTAAAATAATTTTGTTATACAAGTCAGCCTGAGGTATCAAAACTACTAAAATTTTCATGCGAGACAATATTTTGAATAAAAAGAGGACATGCTGGCTATCTACATGTAGATTGATTGGGACAAATTTTTGTTGTCATTGTGTTGCAATGTTGCTGTCATTTAATTTGTATAATGCAATCCATTCTGACATCAAAATATTGTTGTTTACTATGCGGCTATATAGATTTACATAATAAAGTGCAAATATGGTCATTTTGGTTGATTCGTTTAAATAATTTTGTTATACGAGTCAGCCTGAGGTATCAAAACTACTGACATTTTGTTGCGAGACAATATTTTGAATAAAAAGAGGACATGCTTGCTATCTAGATTGATGGGAACAAATTGTTGTTGTCATTGTATTGCAATGTTGCTGTCATTTGTATTATACAATCCATCCTGACATCAAAATATTGCTGATTTACTATGTGGCTATATAGATATACATAATAATGTTCAAATATGGTCAGTTTTTGTTGATGCGTTTAAATAATTTTGTTATACTAGTCAGCTTTAGGTATTAAAATTACTGAAATTTTGTTGCGAGACAATATTTTGAATAAAAAGAGGACATGCTGGCAATCTAAATTGATGGGGATAATTTTTGTTGTCATTGTGTTGCAATGTTGCTGTCATTTGTATTATACAATCCATTCTGACAATAAAATATAGCTGCTTTACTACGTGGCTATATAGATATACATAATATTAAAAGTGCAAATATGGTCAGTTTTGGTTGATGCTGTAAAATAATTTTGTTATACAAGTCAGCCTGAGGTATCAAAACTACTGAAATTTTCTTAAGAGACAATATTTTGAATAAAAAGAGGACATGCTGGCTATCTATATTGATGGAAACAAATTTTTGTTGTAATTGTATTGCAATGTTGCTGTCATTTGTATTATACAATCCATCCTCACATCAAAATATTGCTGATTTACTATGCGGCTATATAGATTTACATAATAAAGTGCAAATATGGTCAGTTTTGGTTGATACTTTAAAATAGTTTTGTTATATGAGTCAGCCTGTGGTATCAAAACTACTAAAATTTTCTTGCGAGACAATATTTTGAATAAAAAGAGGACATGCTGGCAATCTAGATTGATGGGGACAAATTTTTGTTGTCATTGTGTTGCAATGTTGCTGTCATTTGTATTATGCAATCCATTCTGACAACAAAATATTGCTGATTTACTATGCGGCTATATAGATTTACATAATAAAATGCAAATATGGTCAGTTTTGGTTGATTTGTTTAAATAATTTTGTTATACGAGTCAGCCTGAGGTATCAAAACTACTGAAATTTTGTTGCGTGACAATATTTTGAATAAAAAGAGGACATGCTGGCTATCTAGATTGATGGGAATAAATTTTTGTTGTCATTGTATTGCAAAGTTGCTGTCATTTGTATTATACAATCCATCCTGACATCAAAATATTGCTGATTTACTATGTGGCTATATAGATATACATAATAATGTGCAAATATGGTCAGTTTTTGTTGATGCGTTTCAATAATTTTGTTATACTAGTCAGCCTTAGGTATCAAAATTACTGAAATTTTGTTGCGAGACAATATTTTGAATAAAAAGAGGACATGCTGGCAATCTAAATTGATGGGGATAATTTTTGATGTCATTGTGTTGCAATGTTGCTGTCATTTGTATTATACAATCCATTCTGACAATAAAATATAGCTGCTTTACTATGTGGCTATATAGATATACATAATATTAAAAGTGCAAATATGGTCAGTTTTGGTTGATGCGTTTAGATAATTTTGTTATACTAGTCAGCCTTAGGTATCAAAATTACTGAAAAATTGTTGCGAGACCATATTTTAATTAAAAAGAGGACATGCTGGCTATCTAAATTGATGGGGATATTTTTTGTCGTCATTGTGTTGCAATGTTGCTGTCATTTGTATTATACAATCCATTCTAACATCAAAATATTGCTGATTTACTATGCGGCTATATAGATTTACATGATAAAGTGCAAATATGGTCAGTTTTGGTTGATGCTTTAAAATAATTTTGTTATACGAGTCAGCCTGAGGTATCAAAACTACTGAAACTTTCTTGCGAGACAATATTTTGAATAAAAGAGGTCATGCTGGCTATCTAGATTGATCAGGACAAATTTTTGTTGTAATTGTATTGCACAGTTGCTGTCATTTGTGTTATACAATCCATCCTGACAACAAGATATTGCTGATTTACTATGTGGCTTTATAGATATACATAATAAAGTGCAAATATGGTCAGTTTTTGTTGATGCGTTAAAATAATTTTGCTATACGAGTCAACCTGAGGTATCAAAACTACTGAAATTTTGTTGCGAGACAATATATTGAATAAAAAGAGGACTTGATGGCAATCTAGATTGATGGGGACAAATTTTTGTCATTGTACATGTTGTTTTGCAATGTTGCTGTCATTTGTATTATACAATCCACCCTGACATCAAAATATTGCTGATTTACTATGCGGCTATATAGATCTATATAATAAAGTGAAAATATTATGGTCAGTTTTGGTTGATGAGTTAAATAATTTTGTTATATGAGTCAGCCTGAGGTATCAAAATTACTGAAATTTTGTAGCGAGACAATATTTTTAATAAAAGGAGGGCAAAAATATTTCCAAATTTTTTAACCCTATATAAATTAACAGATTGACACACTCCCCATTTCCATTCTCAATTTTATAATTATAAGTGCAAATATGGTCAGTTTTGGTTGATGCTTAAAATAATTTTGTTGTACATGTTGTACATGTACCAGTCATCCTGAAGTATTCATTTTTGGCATTGTTTGTCGATTTTATCTGAAAACCAAGTTTATAAGATTTACGATACATGTTAAAACCGATAATAATAGCATTGTAACCAATATCGTTTTTAATTTATAGAGCAAAGTTTTATGCGTACTTTATTTACAAATACATGTATATATATTTAATCTGTATTGTTTATATAACCATCATAGGCATGACCACGGAGATTTTAATTTCATACATTAATTTACAATATTGTGATCAAAATTCGTTTTTTAAATCAAATAAATAATTTTGTAGTCGCACGCTTTCTTTGAAATTTAATTGCATTATGGGTAATTTCGGATCGTGTAGATAGAATGGGGAATGGTGTATGGTGTAATGTGTAAGGTGTATGGTGCAAAGGTGTAACGTGTATGGTGTAATGGCACAAGGTGTATGGTGTAATGGTGTATGGTGAATGGTGTAATGGTGTATGGTGTAATGGTGTATGGTGAATGGTGTAATGGTGTATGGTGTGAGTGGGAAGTTTACACCATCCAAGGACTGTATGACTGAGACTGTGCCGTTATATTGGCGAATACCACTGGGAATGTATGTATTGTTTTGAACTTGAGATAATTCAGAGCACGCAAGGCTGGTAAGGTATCGCCTTACCTCATGATATGATGCACAAAATCCATGCGAATGTAATGTCTCGATCAAAGCTTTCGAACCATTCATATGATGTAACTGTAATGCAAGGCCAATGTAAAGGGATGATAAAGCTTTTTTGTGCAATGACACTATGCATTCCTTATACTTTCAAATGGCTGGTCAGATAAATGGTTTTTAATATCTACTTGGCTGTGAGAGTCATCGATAAGCTAATTTATAAAGCCAATCAAAAAAGAAGGCACGGTCTCTAGAGATTTCGATAAAGACATTTCATCAACTGAAGGATAAGTATCCATAGGGACAACGGCATTTTTAATCTCACGTCTGAGAATTGAAGCAGCTGAATATAATATTTGATTTTCGTCGGTTTGGTCGCTTTTTGAAGTGCACGCAGACATCTGCAGTTTAGTAAACTTTGTTTCGGCCTTGAAACGAATAGCAGTTCTAACTGCCTCGGGCAATGTGAGAGAACTACTATATACGAAGTTAGACTCCCCTTGACCGTGATTTATATCAACCACAATATGTTCTCGAAAGTGATTTTTTAATCTGAGTTGAAGTCTATAAGAAGTGTATTTAGATGATACGTCTTCTGGCAGAAATGATTTATATTTAGAAAGGAGATAAGACAAGGAGAACACCATTTTGTGAACGAACAATTCTTCGCTTATAGACTCAACAAATGAGGTAAATGCTTTATCGTACATGGTACCAGTATTATTTTCATTGGTTTCTGCTTTAATTTCTTTTTCTCGCAAAAGGTATTGTGTTATGCAACCAGAGTGATATAAAGCATTTGATGTGAAATCTTCATCTGCAATTTGAAAGAGCATTTCATTGTCAGCATGTTTAGTTGCTGTTTCAAAAAGGCTTTGAACCCTCATAGACGAGCAAACACGATGAAGTTTTCGATCTTTTTTAAAGGTCTTGTTTTAACAAAAGATACAACACAAAAAAATCTTGTGATAGCCTAGATCTAGTAAGGATATTTGGAGATGAACATGAAGTTGTAGTTTCTGCTTGAGACTGCTGTTGCTGAACTTTTGCAGCAGATATACGACTTGATGGAGACGGTAGGTTGTGTTTGCTTGTATATGTCCTGTAACAAGTTTTGTGATATTTTATGTTGTTCATAATAATGTCATCTAATGTATCAATCTCACTCAAAAACAACCTAAACACATCATCTTGTCTTTGCCTTACAGCATTCATTAAGGTTGTAAAACGTCTATCAGTTGTCATATTGAGAGTCTGTTGTATAATTTTTTGACATCTTATACAGCGTTGCCAATTTATGGACATGCGACCGCGCTTCATTGGAGGTGGCGCACATTTCACAGGACTTAGACACTCATCCATGATGAGTAATTATGATAATATTTTAGAATATACTATTCTACAAAATGCAGTCTGCTGCTTACATATCACATGCCAATATCAATAGTAATGCTTAAAATGGTCTTTCGTTAACACATATACAAATATTTATTTAGTAATATGTTAAAACACGACTTGTGTTTTGGCAACTCAAATGTTACCTGTGCATATTAGATACTCGATTTATATAAATTTTGAGCGTCTGAGATGAACACGATACAGATCCGGAATACCGTTTAATAATGCAGATTTTAGAGAAGTCGTCAAACATTTATTATCCATCAGTGAGCTTCGATGTGTGTCGCAATCTTTTCAAGGTATATGGAATTTGTAAAAACAAAACATATGAGAGTTTTAATAAGTCATTGACACTGACAATCTTAAAAAACATTGGTATTTTTTTTTACATTTTAGGGTTGGTCTGACAGATGCCTTTGAATTAACTAATTTTTCATAAAATCTTCTTTTTTTTTTGGATTCGATGTCTTTTTAGAATGTAGTCAAAGCTATCGTAGATAAAAATGAATAATATATTTACAACAATGCCGATATATTCAATGTTAAATGTCACCGTATAATCCAAAGTATTTCGACATGTCTGTGTACTCGTGAGATTTGCAAGAAACGTGACCATAGGGAACTTTGACGACCACCCAAATCGTATGCTCTAGAAGTTTTTCTTTCAATTGATACCAAAATTAGCTGTGTGTTAGATAGGTGCATTAAAAACCTTAACGAGAGGCTTTTTCTCAAATCGGCGCTCGCCTATAGGCACCTACGTTTTAATATTGTATGTATATTGTGTCATAGATTAAACTTATTCGTTCAGTGTATGTTTACTTGTTTTTGTTAAAATGTCTTTTTGGTCAAGGTAAGCCATTTCAATTGATATTTCATTGTGTGTCTTTTTATGTTGTAATGTTACACTACTGTCGCAGGTTAGGGTGAAGGTGGGCGCATGTTACAACGTTTAAACCCGCTGCATTTGTATTGCACCTGTCCTAAGTCAGGAGCTTGTTGTCCGAATGTTGTCGTTTGTTGGTGTGGTTCATAGGTGTTTCTCGTTTTTCGTTTTTTATATAGATTAGACCTTTGGTTTTCCTGTTTGAATTGTTTTGCGGCCCTTTATAGCTTGCTGTTCGATGTGAGCCAAGGCTCCGTATTGAAAGCCGTACTTTGACCTACAATTGTTAACTTTTCATACATTGTGACTCGGATGGAGAGTTGTCTCATTGACACTCATACCACATCTTTTTATTTATATAAAGATTACTCTTCTCTCTCTCTCTCTCTCTCTCTCTCTCTCTCTCTCTCTCTCTCTCTCTCTCTCTCTCTCTCTCTCTCTCTCTCCCTCTCTCTCTCTTTTTGTGTGTTATTATCAATATGCAGCGAATCTACATTATGGTCTACTCCAATATCCAACAAATTACTTAACAACAAAATATCAAATAAAAACAACAGAACAATTTCCGTATATAAATATATATATATAATAAATAAACTGACATGGAAAATGTAAAACAATTGTTGACAATTACGACTATCCGAGAAGGTTTCCAATATCTGCTGCCCTAAAATAAAAAGATATATATTTGAAAAAAATCGAATGTATATAAATAATGTTCTTTTAAATATGAGGGATTTTTTCGTGATAGAAGTTGCTGCTGACATATGAACAATGAGGCGCTTGACCCTAGTTAGATGCTTGTAATTCATGTAATTGCCTTTTGTTGTTTTTATATTGTATTCATTTTTCATTGATGAGGCCGTTAGTGATCTCGTTTGAATTGTTTTACATTTGTCATTTCGGCGGCTTTTCTACCTTGCTAAGCTGTATGGGTTTTGCTCATTGTTGAAAGCTTTACTGTGACTTTTAGATGCTAATTAATATCGTCTCTGGGGGAGATTTGTCTCATTAGCAATCATACCTTTTTCTGATTATTTGTATATTAATTTCAAGGTTGAAATCATCTTTTCAAAAGTTTTAGGGAAGCGACATGATATATTGGGTGATTATTATGTAATAACAGAACACTCCAAATATTTGACGAACGATCCACATTGGAATTATGTGCATATTGTTATTTGTGTAAATCAGTAAAAGAAAAACAACCTTACTTCAAAGAAACTATAATCAATAGCTTAGAGTTCTTAATGCTGTTCAACTTCGTACTTTATTTGGCCATTTTAACTTTTTTGATCTGTGCGTCACTGATGACGCGTCTAACGTGCAAATGTTTAAGCCTGGTATATATGATATTTAGATGGAGACTTGTGCATTACATTACAATAATTCGAAGAAAAAAAATGTGTGCATCATATATCTTTGCAGTGGTGAAAATCACAATGTTAAATTTATACGATTTCTTTAGAATGGTACTTACACCATTTCACATATGTATGTGGTTGGAACTGTACAAGGACCATCTGTCCACGAATAATTGAAGCCTATAACTGGATCAACTCGCATAGCTACACAGTTTTCGTTTCCCCCTCTGTTATTTGGTTGGGTAGGTCCCCAGTTAAAGTATGTTGCCTGCTTGCCATTGGCTACCCAGTGAAATGTCCCTTCAGTTACAAGGTCATTTAATCCTATGTACATTCCAATGGAATCTATTAAAACAAACAAAATGGTTGTGAATTACTAAAATAAATCTCATATTGCTGCTTTTAAACAGAACATGCGAAATTCTATCCATCAAATATACATTTCTAAATTGTATTGTAAAGTAATTTTTTAGTATTTTTCAGGCCAAATAATGAACGGCATAATACACAAATTACAGTAAAAATTTTATTGTTTTCCAGGCTTACCGGAAATTTTATTTCTGCATAATTTTTCCATGACTTCCTTCTATTTTAACAAGTGAGCGTGTGAGATTTGACCACATGACGTCACTGTCTGGTTTTGAAAGACGTATTTGTATGAGCGTAATTTAAACCAGATTTTATTTTATTTTGGCTTTTTTTATTTCGTTTTCATGTTTCTCATTCGTAATTTGTTTTCAGATTGACTTTATAATTTCTGTTTGGCAAAAATATCGTTGTTTTGGTTTTTCTTTTCTGTTGTTTTGAATAAAATATGAGATTTACAGAAAACGATTCCATCAAAATACACTGCCATTTTTAATTACTTCACTGCAGTTTTCAAATCGCAGTTGACTGAATGTATTGTACGATGACTCATAGAACTACTTCATAACGACTAGGTTAAAGTATTAGGCTTGTTTCTTAAATGCAAACAATGAAGTAGCCAACAAATTAAAACATTTTAAAAAGTAAAATGCTTAAATGACAAACAACAACGACTTAGTCTATCATTTCTAAGTACGGAAAGGATCCTCAATGACTGGGAAGTAAACAAAACCATGTCCTTATTCTTGCAAAATGCAGAAAAATTCCTGTGCACACTATATATATAGCTACGCTTTAGTATCCAAATCCTTTACAGACATAAAGACCATCAACAAAAGTCGTACTGACTGTAGTTTTTACACTAATTACGACAGCCAAGTTTAATAGTACCTTACACAGGTCGCCACATATTTTTTTTTTTTCAGGTTAAGGTAGATAAAGGAGGAATTAATATAGGAAAAGTTGTGCCATATGATTCATGTACAATCTAATGTCTACTCATTCTTACTTATTTTGATCATTAAATCTGTAAGAAACTGTTGTGTTTTCGCATCATCAACAGTAGCTAATGATGCCGATCTTCCATATTGGCGTCCAATCACTTCACACAGTTTCTGAGATAAAATAGAAACATATTACTTTCAAATTACAAAACAAGTATTTATTGGTCATGTTGATATTATTCGATTATTTTGAATGAAAAAATAACATATTTTCTGTTATATCCCACCCTCGAAAAACCCGCTCCTAATATTATGTCATGTGATGTGAAATGTGCGACAACGGTAGTTTACCGATGTTCAAATCCCATATATCCAGCTCAAAAAAAGGTAAAAAACAAAAAAAAACAAAAACAAAAAAAATCTGAGGGATTCACATGAACCCTAAAAAAAGCGAGACTGGAAGTGTCTATAGGTTAATCGACTTCTGCTATGCATACATCATCCGTAATTGGAATCCACACCCATTCACAATCGAGAATATGACACATATAATACAGCGTGCAAAACACAAAGAGTGATTCTATATCAAAGTAAGACAATCGAAATCAAAATTTGAAGACAAATTTATAAGTATTTAATTTCGGAACCCTCCCTCTGCTCTCTTCATTGTAACTCACCAGTGAATCGGCAAATGTCTCGTTGTCGCGGCTTAAAAAGAAGCACTTGTCTTCATAATGACTCCAATTATTTGGACATGCACAAAAAACTGAAACAAAAAATGAATGTTGAAAAGTGTCTATTTTTTTTTATAAACAAATGATATAAAAAGAGTAATCACATTCAAGGAAGGCAATCAAGATCAAAAATCAAAGCAGAATATGAAATACATTTTGATTGATAACATTTATTTCGACACTCGGTTTATTTGCATCACGAAGAAAAACTGTTTCAAAGGAATTCCGTTATTTGATAATCTGACTAACAGAATATAGTGTTCTTTATTTCAATAAATCGTCGCATTCATAACTACAAGTGGTCTCTATGACAAAGTTACTTAATTACAACAATATGACTATTTGAAAAAAAAAGTTAGGAAAAGCTTGATTTCATTTGCAATCTGATATGTTTACTCTTAATTTGTAATAACGTTGACCGTGTGCACTTACATTTCAAGCGTTTAATTACAAATCTGCTTCGGTCAATGTTTTTACACATTGAACAAAAATTAATATATAATTAATTTTGTTTCAAATATTTATAAAAACAAAATTCATGAAAGATATGAGGCTTATAACGTTGTACGCCAGATGTGCATACATTAGGGGAAACGTTATATAAATAATATTTAGCTATAAGTAGTCGGTTTGGTTCAATTTTGTAAAAATAGGCTAAAAATCGTATTCCTGCAGCTTTGAATTTGACTATTGGTGGGGAGGGGTTGTACATGTGTTCAGCATGTTTATTTATTAGAAAGAAGATGATTTTAACATTAAAAGTTAGACAAAAGAGACATCAGGAATAACCATTCCGTTGACTGATCCGCTACAGAAAAAAATCGTTCTTATACAGGTAAAACGATGATATACATATATTTTGAATATATAACATTAAATCAAACAGACCTATAAAATAGAGTGCACGTGTATGTCTGTCTATTTATATAGTTATTTTTGTATCGGGTTATATGACTGTCAGCAGTCTTTCAGGGTCATCTCAATATATAATTTGATGACAATTGGTCTATACGCACGAAATGCTGCTACAATTTAACGAGTCTGTGCATTGTTAATTATTTCTTTTTTGGACTTTTTATAATTTGGATATTAGATTTACTGTGTTATAAATCAAGTATGATAATTTGTGATTGGGTGAAATTGGCGAGCATGAATTCGACAGCTACATTAAGCCTAACCTTAACTCTAATCCTAACCCTAGCTCTAATGTCCTTTAATTAAAACTACACGAAAAAGTATTTAATTTTGAATTACAGATTAAATCTTGAAGAATCAGTTCATTAAATGATAATAAAAAAGTGACTTACCAACTGTGGCTACAAATGCCAGAACACAAAGTTTCACCCAAACAGAAGACATTTTGATATATGAGGCAACAGTTTAAACATTGCATGTTCCATTTCAGGAGGCGATATTTATATTCGTTAATTATCTCAATTTTGATAAGTTCGTGATGTCAAAGAAACTGCAGACAGATTGGAATGTGGGTGTACAATTCGGACCAGAAACAAAGTCAAGGTCTCCTTAAATATTAATGATAAATGTAGAACTTTTATAAGGCTGTTATTCATAAAGACCATTTTGATAAAAAGTTCAAATTTTAGAACAAGATTATTTGGAATATAATTTGGAACATTTATCAGGATACGAACAAAAGCCAAATTTCGAGACGTCCTATGTAAAGATTTGGAATTTAAATAAGAATATTTATCAGTTCATGAGGCATGTGAGGAGAATTGTTAGAATGTAAATCGAAACAACTATTATGAGCGCCTCTGGTGAGTCTTATGTAGCCGAAACGGGCGTCTTGCGTACAAATTTATAAGCTTGATATCTTTGATGCGTTTTTAGTACAAGTAGAAAATATAAACATTTGACACCTATGTATGGGCGCACGATACACAATTTCAGAATAAGCTTTAACAGGTGCTCAATGATGGCAAAGCTTTTGAATGCAAAATGCGTAGATCGTTTTGAAGTTGAACACGGGGGTCAATATTATTTGGCAAGATAAATTGTGTCAGAGGGAACTGCCTATAACCCTAGATATCTAACCGATAAAATTTTGCAATAACATATGAAGTTGGTTTTATAATATGTTTTATAAAATTAAAAGGAAAAATAGTGTCGCCGAACTTGTTTTCCTGCTACAAGTAAAAATAAAAATTTCATTAACATTCCTTTATAAAAAAAAAAATTTTACTCTGAGAGTGATCTTACCTTATACGAGTAGAAAATTGAATCAAACAAAGCAAATGGAATTTGTAAAAAACAGTCTAAATAATACAATAAATCACTTATCTTTCTTAAATAAACAGTCTTACATATACATTTATACAGTGAAACAACCTTTATATATAATTTCACAACGTAAGCTAGTAGGAAATGCTAAACCTTCCAGAACACATACGTGTAATCAAGGTTTTTTTTGGAGGGTTCGTATTGCTTTATCTTCAGTTATCTTTGTAGTGTTTTGTGGGCTGTTGTTTATCTCCTATTCGTTTTTGTTTTCTTTTCGGCATGATAACTCGAATGTTGTTGTCGACTTATGATTTTGAATTTCGGACAACAAGGTACTAATACTTAATGACCTGTACTTAATTACCACCAACAAGCTTGTATCTATTGTTTTGAAATCATGATTGTTATCTTGAGTTAGCCTTCCTTTGTCTCTCACACATACTGTACATAATTATTTATTTATATATGACATTTAGAAAGAACGACAACCGGAAGGATGTGCATGAAATTCTGTTGAAATCCGGAAATCAGCGTCATTATTGCTGTTATTAATAAAGCAGTGGCTGGAAGTTTTACAATGATGACCTTAGGTTTGACACATAACAATAATTAGGTTGGCACCAAGCTTTGACTTCCATTCTGTATCTAACTTCTTATATACAGAATAATTCGGGAATATGTATCATAAAAGCACTTGATTTTTGTAGGCGCCATCAACCTTTATGCATTTGCTTGAGTGTGTTTAATATGCTTATGATATTGTTTTGTGTCTTAAGATGCAAATAAGACACATTTCAGGGATGATTAAATGATTACAAGTGCAAAAACATAAGTAACCACTAGGTTGCGTAAAAAAGAATTAATCTTATTTTGAAATCGATATCTTTTTTAAACTATATTTGATAAAAGGACAAATCATCAAAATTAATATTGTGGTATGTAAATTGCGTTTTCAAATTTAAAATTAAAGCAAATGTGGTTCAAAATTATTTTCTACAACTAATTTGTTAGGGTTTCATTTATATTTACAGATTTCAGTTTTCCCATTGGAAACTTCAACTTTAAATCGAAATTACATGTACATTACAGCAGAATTTGGATATGAAGTACACAGTCAGGTGCTACGACATTCCAGGGTTTAGTTTCTTTTCCACCGGTGATGCCAATTGCATCATAAATAAACTTATATGGCACTCATATCACATCTTCTTATATCTATTTAGCAATGTCCTTTTACTTTTCATGAGCAACATGAAGTCGATTCAAAAACTGCTTAACTTCCGGGGCACCTGAGATAGTAGTAGAGAAATGAGAGTTCTGCCACACTTTCACTTTCGATAATTTTTTCTACAAAATTAAAAATGAAAGTAGGTCATCCATCTATTTATAGAATGAAAGTAGGTCATCAATCTATTTATAAAATTAGTAAGGAGCCGGTTCCAATCAGTTTTCATAAAACACCCTTAATCCTAGTGAGAGTTCTATCCCACTATGCAGAAATGTGTTTTTTAAAATAGGAGTGAGAGGTGTTGAAATTAAAAAAGAAGGAATAAAAGACACGGGTATAGTAAGTTATAATGTCTAACATAGTACACGCTGTAGTGAGTGCAATAATCGTTAATTTGGGATCAGTATTAACTAATATGGTAGACGTCATACAGCATGACAATAGACACACTTTAGGTCCGTTAAGTAACCGAATCATTGATACCTTCGAAGTCATTAAGTCTAATCTCGAAGAAGACGTTAGGTTTGATATTGAATGTACGATTGAAAATTGGAAACTTAACATGGCAGTTCACCAACTGAATGAGATTTTATAACAAAGCTGGTTTACTGCTCCGGTCATAAATGAGATGGTCAACGTGTTGTTGTGTGATTACGAAGAAGAGGACATCGAAGATGTGCAATTATACCACATGGTTAGAACGGTATTTCATTTGGGAAATCGTTCGACAATTAATAATTCACGTTAATTCATGTTTAAACATTCACAATAAAGACGTGTGTATGTTAAGTATTAAGAATATGATGGCTACTTTCATTGATCTGAATGCTTTTGAGACAAAGGTAGAAGAACAAGATGAACAAACCATAAAATGGAGAGACCTTCCCATTTTGGTGGTGTATCAAATTTATAGAAGTGACAAGAGTAATTGGTAAATTTGGTAAGAGTAGTATACCTACCTTGAAAACTAGGGAAGGGGACATGACAATGGTGTGTGGGCTTGCAGTGGGTTAAACAGAGAAAAGGAACCCTTGGAAGGTGCCTTTGTAAAAAGTATAGGGATTAAAATCAGTAAAAAGACTAAACTAGAGTATTTTTCATACGACTTGGTTAGAATGTAAGTAGGAATGACTACCCAATCATTTTTTTAATCTAGTTAACACTAGATTAAAAAAAAATAGTGGTGAAAATTGAAAAAAAAACATCATAAAGACATGTGTTGATAAAGGTTAAGTATGACTGCTATAAAGATTCTAAACGCTTTTGAGCGGTTGTTGGAAAGTGACGATTGTTTTGATACGTTTACATATGATTCAACATTTTTTCACCTTTTCGATTCCAAACTCCTAAAAGAATTTTAAGAAGACCCTATTCACCAAATTTTTGACTGGTTAGTTTACAATTAATATTTAACACCATCTTCACTTAAAGTGTTAACACATGATTTATTAGCGTTAGGTTTAGGTATTTTAAATGATGTGTAATCTACACTACCCGTTAAAATAGCTTAAAACAGCTCATTAGATTATACCATGTCGTTAGGAATAGGTTAGAGTTTGAGAAGGGATCTCACATGGTTGAAAGCATTGAAATGGTAATGGACATGGTTGTTGCTAGATACATTGATGAATTTGAAAAAGGATCTCACATGGTTGAAAGCATTGAAATGGTATTGGACATGGTTGTTGCTTGCTGTCTGATGGGTTAAGTAGTGATGAGGAGGAGACTAGTGATAACGATGAAGTGCAAGTGCAGGTGTAGGTGGTGTTACAACTTTACAATACAAGTGTGTGTAAGACCAATTAATTTGTAATCTAGCAAACACTAGATTAAAAAATATTGGTGTGTGTTACTTGTTTTTCTTATGGAGTCGTGAGTGTTGTTTTTCAGTGTAGTAAGAGTGTAAGCATGTAACAATACATGTAAACTCTAGGTCACTAATGTCATCTTCATCCAAAGCTTTACTCACTGCATCTTCGATCTTAGATTTAGAGGTTCTAATGAGTTGTACGGTATTTTTATGGTTTTTTTTTTACATTTTTTATGAATACGTTGAGATAGTACTGTTAACCCCATCATTCCTAACGAATTAATGACCGCTAGTGAACTTATAGGAATGCAAGCAATGGCTCCTATTCCTGTTGCAGCAGAACACATATTACATCTTCGTTTGAGGTAGAGACCAGACCCAATGGCTTTGTTCATGGCAGCACTACCTAAACCACTCAAAGCACCTACACCTTAAGCAGGGAGTACTGTTTTAGCGAACATGGGAAGAGCTCGCATGGCTAATCCGGCTAACATTCCCAAAAAAACACCTTCTTTTTGCATGTTTTGTTTGAGTTGTTTTACACTCAACTCCAACACCATACCACCTTTACCACTTTTTAACAGCTTGTCGATCTTTGTATTTGTCGCTGAGTGAGCAACATCTCATCGTTCCCCTTTAAGCTAGCATGCAATACACGAATATTAACAGGACAACCATTCTTGACTGCCTTCTGTAATTTATTGGCTTGACCTTGTGTCAAATTCAAACCATATGTATGATATTTCATTTTTTTATACCTAACGAAGATTATTTTTTTTTTAGGGAACAGGTTTCATTTCCTAAAAAAACAAAACCGTTTTTTTTCTTAGGTTCTTTTCATTACAGCATACTCGTGTTGAAGGGTTTTTACAGTAAAGCACGTTGCATGTAATACGTTTTAGTTAAGAACAGTTTTTTAACTTCATCAAACCCAATGGGTCCTCCAAATACACTTAACACCGAGCGATGTCTAGAACGACAAGGTAAGGGTTCATTAATGAGTTGTTTAAACATGTCTAACACCAACGATTTACTTTTAACAAACGTGTAGTCATGCTTATTGTCTTCAATGAAGGCTAA